CGCGGGCGCTGGCACCGCTGGGCTCGGTGCCCCTTGGGCAGGACCCCGGCCCCCTCCCCGTCCCTCGCTCAGTGACAGATAACCAAAGGAGTCCCCGTGCCGCGCGGCGGCCTCGCGCCCCCGGAGACGCCCCCCTCCTCCCCTCCCGCCCTCGCGGTGCCCAGGGAGCCAGGAAAGCCTTACGGTCCTTTGACGGCGACTCGAAAGCTCACAGCTCGTGTGCTGCAGAATTTATTCCAATGAGCAGCTAAAAGTATCATTTAAAAAAAAAAAATAACAAAAAAAAAATTACAAAAAAAAATACTAAAAAACAATTATTTAGGGTGTTTGTGATTGCTGACTGCGCTGTAGATACCACTGTTTACCAATGATTTCCTGTGGTGGGATAGTGGACTGTTTACTGTTCTATTATACCAGTCCCCGGGCCCTCCGGTGGGACCCCCGCGGCCCCCGCGGCTCCCCGGAAGGTGCTAGGACGTGTGTTCTGTGTTAGAAAGTTTTTATATATATATATATATATATATATAAATATATATATATAATTTTTTTTGCTCTGTTACTTGCACATTTTACAGTTACCTCATTTTTCCCATGTATGTATTTGAAAAAAGGCTAATATATAGAAAAAAAAGGTTCTTAAAGCTCTAAAAGTGTTTGTTTTTTTTCCATTCCATTGGAATCATATTGGTTTTGTAGCATTTAACATAACTAGTATGTTGTATTATATATATGTGTATTATACTGATTGAAATTTTTAACAGATTTGTACTTTTTTTAAAATGAAAGTTGCTAGTTCTGCTTGACCAAGTAGTGCAATCATTATTTTTTTTAATGTTGTGGCTGATTTTGAGAGGGATATTCACTAATAAATGTATGATGTATACCAACATGCTGTGCCGCGGCTCTTGTCTCAGCACAGGCAGGCAGGGGCTCGAGGGGGGTCAGGGTGGCCACGTGTATTCCCCTGGGGGGCTGAGGCCAGGCTAACACTCTGGTCAGGGATGGGGGGGGTCCCCAGGCTGTTCCTGAGCAGCTGGAGGGAGGGTGCAGCAGCTGGAAGACCCCCAGAGAGGGCATTTGGAGGAGAGGCTGAGGGTAGAAGCAGGAGTCCTCTGCCCCAGCAGCGTCTGTGGTCCAGCAGCACCCCACCTGTGCTCCCTCACAGCTTGCACTGAGACAGAGAGTCCTCCTGGACACCATCCCAGGACAGTGCATCTTCCCTGGTGGCTCCAGCATGCTCAGCTAGGGAAGAGGTGATCCCTGGGTGGGAAACCGGCCCAGCGAGGCTGGCCCTGGAGAACCTCAAGAGCCCCAGGCTGGCTGCTTCAGGCTGAGCACAACAGACACATCCACCCTACACATAACAGAGGACAGGAGCTCTGGATCCACAAGGCCAAGAGCAAGGTTGCTACTCCCAAACCATGCTGCTCCAGAAGGCTCTGTGGCCAGAAAGGGAACAGCTCTTCCTTTGGGAGGAAAATGAAGCATCTCCCCCCTTTTTCAAAAAGCCATGCCAGGCCCTGGAGTCACCACAAAAGGAGGCTGGTTTACTCCAGCTTGCAGGCTTTGGAAATGGTGGGGGTAGAGAGACCTCCCTGCTCCCTTCTGTGCTTCATGCAGGCAAATGAGCATGGTTACCTCTCCAAAACAGGTGACTAGCAGGTAAGGGTAGAGAAGGAACAGGCTCCTACCACTCCCCCTATGGGCAGGAGCCGATAGCACTGCTCCACAGCCACAACCAAGCCTCTGATGGGGAACAGAGGCTTACACCCACCCTTCTCTCCACACAGCACTTCACATGTCTTTTTTCCCCACCTCTAACCTGATCCAGGAGGGTTGACTCAGCCCTTTGAGCAAAGGAGGGCCATCTCCCTCCTACTCACCCAGCCTCAGCCCAGAGGTCATGCCACAGGCCGCACAGCAGCAACCCCAGCACTGCCTTCCCCCACAGTGTGCATACTCTTGTTCATCTTACAACAGCAGCTCTGCTGGCACAAAATTACCAATTCAAGGCAATAGGGTAAGTGTACCCACAATGCCATGAGCAGTAACTGTAGAGCCACCACAGCTGGAATTCCCCTCCCCAGTGCTTGGCTGTGGCAGGGGGCACAGGCAGAAAGCATTGGCACAAGACATGCTAGAGGCAGAGTTTATTACACTACGCAGGCTAAGAACCCTGGGCAAGACCCCACATGGGTAAGAATCGAACCAGCTCTTTATCAAAAAGTTAATACTATAGTCAACCCCATTCTCCTTTGGTCATTACAAAGCAAGAGAAATATTAAAAGAAAGATATTTATACACAGAGGGAAGCTGAAGAGATTCTGTCCAGCCCTTCCCTCCCACCCCACTCCCAGCACATTCAGGTGCCCGGTCTTCTGGCTGTCAGGAACAGCAGAGTATCAAATCTTCACAAGATGTCAGGTTGTTGGGGTTTTATTATTATTGTCATCAATAAAAGCAATAATGACCAAGAGCTGCCATTCCTGTTCCTCCCCAGGGAGGGCGGAGGGGTAACACCAGCTCCCCTCCCTCTCTGCCCTCCAAGTGTAGGGGATGGCTGTGTACACAAGTGTGTGAGGACGTGCACACACTTCCTCTTGCCAGTGCACACACACAGCACAGCTGGCACAGGCGATGTGGTCTCTGATCCCTCGTTTGTACGCAGTCTTTTAAAAAAAATATTGTATTATAATAATAATATGAATTTCTCTTTCCATTTTGTGTCTTCTGGAAAAGTGTCAATCGTCCGTGAGGTCCTGCACAAAGAGGACTTCCGTGTGGCTGAGTCCAGCCTCCTGCAGCGTGGGTGGGTTGGGCCACTCCTCTGTAGGGAGGCAGGGCAGGACACGGCGAGGGAAGTTGGCCTCAATCTGGAACTTTTCAGGGCTTTCTTTCAAGGAGAACAAGAAGTCATGGATCACCTGGGAAAGAAGCACAGAAATAACTACCAGCTGGGGGAGCAATGACACAGCCAGACTGCATCTATGGCATCTCACAGTAGGGTGGGGGGAGGTTACCAAATTTGCACCATCACTGCATTGTAGACACAAGACAGCCATTTTCTTAGCATGTATGAAACAGGACTTGTCACAGAGTACCTGGGGAGTCCAGACACTGTTTCTGACTCTTCCTACACCATTATTTAATAGGGAGCAACAAGAGCCTCAGCTTTTCAGGAGAAGAAAAAAAGGTTTCTTCCATTTTTTCCTCTAACCTCTCTCTTCTAAGCTGCTGGGACCAGGCCTCATGACACCCTCCTGACCCAGGAACAACTCTGCCTGCTAAGGCTCTCAAAGGTCACTGTTTGGCAAAGTCCAATGGAACCAAAGCTTTGCTGAGCGACCTGGAGAATTTCAACTCTCTTTTACTCTAGGAAGCCCACCAGCTCTGCCCCAAGCTCACCGTCAATGACTGTGTGAAGTGGAATCGCCGCTCCACTCTGGAATCATTAGGCAGCTTGAAAATGATCTTAACGCTCTCTGGGTCATCAGGATGTGGTTCAGGAGGAAGGCATTCAGACTTCCGCTCCTTCTCCTCCTGCAGCGTCTGCAAAGGAAGGAGGCAGAAAGAGCAATGGGCATGCACCGCACAGACCTTTATGCTTGTTCCTTGCAGCACAGCTGCTCCAGGAGGCTCAGAGGACACTCAAGCCCCAAGCAAGACAAGCAGCTCCGATCTGACAAGAAAGCCCTACTGCAGGCACTGCTCCTACACAGCATGAGCATCTGACAGGGCACAGCAGCCTCTCCAGCAGTCAGTTTGCTCTCACCTGTCGCCGTCTCTCCTCCGCTAGCTTTTGCTGCTGCACTTCCTCCTCCTTCTTCTTCTTCCTCTCCCGTTCCTCCTTCTTCTTGCGCTCCTTTTCCTGGTCCGCACGCAAGGATGCCAGATATGCCTCGTCCTGCTGCTGCCTCAGAACTTGGGTTTGGTTCCTCTCTTCCCTGCAAACATGAGCAGGGAGCAGTCAGGGCTAGCAGGCCCTAAAATGAAGGCATGGCAGGCTGATAACAGACCTGAGGATGCAGGTACAGCCTCCAACTCATAGGAGTGCACACATCAGTTAACACCTCATTTAGAGGGCTGAGTACCACAAGCTCTTGAAAGGCAAGGTGAGCCTCCACAGTCCCTAGCACACAAACTGTTTCCCTAGGTTGAGTGGAAATGAACTGAACACAAAAGACTTCTCACCCACTGCAGCTTGACAGAGTGGACAGACAGCACATAAGCAGTGTCCAGGATTTCTACCTCATACTTGAGACTCTTCACAGTCTTATCTCCTTCAGGTAATTCCTTGCACATTTCAGAAACCAGAGGCATCAAAACGTGTTAGTGGGTCCCCCACAGAGACTATGGGGCAGAGCTGGAGCAGACAGAA